TTATGCATGACCAAATATGAAAATTCTCGAAAATATTTCACTATAAATACAAGCTAATTAAGCCAGCGTTTATCGTCAACACCTAAACGTAATGATCATCAACATGGCTTCTCAATTATCTTCTTCCCCATTCGTCACAACTCTCTTCCCTCAGAAACCACCCCAACCTTGCATGCCAATTAGAAAAGGATCAAACCCTAAATTCTTTCCTAAATTAGGTGTCAATGTATCATGCAACATCACAAATAGTCAAGAAGATGACGATTTCAAAAATCCTAAAACCAAAAAGGGAGAATTACAAAGTTCTACAAACAAATTAATGTTTGATAGAAGAGATGTTCTTATTAGCTTAGGAGGCCTCTATGGAGCAACTACTCTCAACAGTAAAGATCCTTTCGCATTGGCTGCTCCGATTCAACCACCCGATCTTTCCGGGCCATTCCCACCTAAGCCTGATGTAGTACCATATAATTGTCTCCCACCAACCTCTGAAAAGGTAATAGATTTCAAGCCATCGGACTTATGTGAGCGGCTTCGAGTTAGGCCTGCCGCGCATTTGGTTGACAATGAGTATATAGCCAAGTATGAAAAAGCCACTGAGCTAATGAAAGCACTTCCTGCTGATGATCCTCGTAGCTTCATGCAACAAGCCAAAGTTCATTGTGCTTATTGTTCTGGAGGTTATACACAAGTAGGGTTTCCTAATGTAGAGCTTCAAGTTCACTATTCATGGCTTTTCTTTCCATTCCACAGATACTATCTTTACTTCTATGAGAAAATTTTGGGAAAATTAATTGGTGATCCAACTTTTGCTTTACCATTCTGGAATTGGGACACGCCTCTTGGAATGTCAATGCCTACCATTTATACAAATCTGAAGTCTCCGCTCTATGACCCATTAAGAGATGCTAAGCATCAACCACCAACATTGACCGAACTTGATTACAGCGGGGTTGATCCGACGATCTCAGAAAAGGAACTGATTAAAGACAATCTAGTGATCATGCATAGGCAAATGATATCTGGTGCAAAAATCCCTAGACTTTTCTTTGGGAAGCCAATTAGAGCTGGTGATAAACCCAATGATGCAAAAGAAGGGGGTACAATTGAGTTAACTCCTCATAATAACGTACATAGCTGGACAGGAGATAGAAATCAGCGAAATGGGGAGAACATGGGAGCTTTCTTCTCTGCCGGGAGGGACCCAATTTTCTATGCTCATCACTCTAATATTGATCGAATGTGGGAGATATGGAAGACTCTTGGAGGCAAACGCAAGGATCTCACTGACACAGATTTTCTTAAAGCTGGGTTTGTTTTCTATGACGAGAATTCAAATCTTGTCCGAGTCAAAGTTAAAGATTGTTTAGAGACTAAAAATCTGGGTTATGTGTACCAAGATGTTGATCTTCCATGGCGAGAATTTAAGCCTGAACCAAAAAAATCATTGGTGAAGGTAAGTGTTGGAACTTCCCCTCTGAATTTAATCCAAAAGATCAGCATGAGAAATTTGCCTTTGAATTTAGAGAAAGAAACAGTGAAAGTTGAGGTTCCGAGGCCGAAGAAATCAAGGAGTAAGGAAGAGAAAGAAGAGGAAGAGGAAGTGATAGTGATCGAGGACATTGAGTTCAACATGAACGAGTTTGTGAAATTTGATGTGCTTGTCAATGATGTTGAACATGACCTAAAGTGCAGACCTCGACACACAGAGTTTGCAGGGAGTTTTGTGCGTTTGCCGCATATCCATGGACGTGGGAAAATGATGTCCAAGGGTTCTTTGAGGTTAGCGTGCACAGATTTGCTTGAGGAATTAGGAGCAGAAGATGACGATAACGTAGTGGTGAGTTTGGTGCCAAGATCTGGGCATGATATCCGTATTGGTGGGATAAAGATAGAGTTTTTAAAAGAATGATAATCATAATATTGATCATGGCATGAATTTTATTGGAAGACACTTTTCGATTGTTAATTTTTCTTATGTTTTTTTTATTTTAAATTTCTTGAACTTGCATATGAGAATATTGTTATTGGATCTTTACCCAAAAAAATGAAATTAAGAAATTTGTGAAAAAATTAATAAATATTTTATTATTATGAACAAATTAATTGAAAACTTTAATGAATATGACCGAAATATTTAAATTTTGTTAATTTTTTAACATAAATTTAAAATAAATTTGTTATATTTATAAAATCTATCAATTCATTTATTTTTTGAAATAATTAATAATTAATTTAAAAAAAATTTAAATCTTGAAATAATTAATAATTAATAATTAATTTGAAGAAAAATTTAAATCTAAGACCCTCAGAAAAACAGGTATTAACATTAATCTTAATAGCATAAGAAAAATTTAAAATTAAATAACATTAATCCTAAATTTTTTCTTGGGTCTAAATATTTAACTTAAAACTTATATCCAGCCATTTTTTTTTTTTAATTAACTTCCACGCAAATGTACATCTAATCTCATGTGATGAAGAACTTATCATCATCCACTTAATGAATCATCATGGATGAAAAATATTTAACTAACATGATGACTTTGTATTTTTTATATATGAGTTTAAGTATGTATTTGATAAATATATAATCTATAAGCACAGAATGATATCTTTATTATATGTATATATATATGTGTGTGTGTGTGTATGTAGAGCTAGTAGAAAGTAAATTTTAATACTCCCATCATATTTTTACTAAAGTTAGAAATCAAACGATGAATCACGCTCTAAATAAAGTTTATTTGAATCATATCCTTTCTCGAAGTTACTGTTTTATTTGCTTATTTTATTATTGAGTACTTAACTTTATTTAATTTCATTATCCTTTTATAAATATAACCTTGAACCATTTTTTCACATCTTTAAGGATCCCACTAATACTAGTTGAACTTGGTTTGCCATATACTTAGACATTCACATTGAACTTTAATTTACCACCTAATTATGGTTTGCCATATTGATGGTCTCGCAGGATTACTATTCACTTTTTATGTACGAACACTGTGAACTAAAATTAGTAGTTAGTTGATTGAGTTATTCTTGTACTTATTACAAAGTATTTTTGTCACGCTCCGATACTCGATGTGAGACGCAATTCCTGCTCATGCCATTTTCGTGCAGTGGACACATAAAATATATACATGCGTAGATAAAAAATATAATACAACCTACCATCCTATGTGATATGTACAATAACTGTATATATAAAATATGAGTTCAGAATTTAGAATATAACAGAAAAAATAAACTTTTCGAATATGTACAACATATACAAAAAAGAGAACCCTTTTTACAGGTTCTACTCATCTGTCAGCAGTGCTGACTCTTCATTTTCCTCTGAAAAATATCAGTATAAAATTTAATGAGCTTTACCAACTCAATAAGTATTCCCGTTCTCTCAATCCAGATAAAATATTTTAGTACAAAATTCATGTTCTTATTTTCACTATTTCACATGTTCTATATCGATCTGATGAATTCTTTTGAATATCACATATAAACCTTAAATATATATCCCCATATTGTCAAAAGAACATAGATAAACTCAAACATCAATCATTATTTCGAAACGTAATCATACACACAAAAGATCACAGATATACTCAAAAGTCATTTCTATGGTTTCATCGTGCAATGTCGTTTATATCATCATTGAGGAAAGGCGAAATTGATCCTCCAATCGCATGGATAGCACACACATAAATCACACAATGGCCATAGCAGGTACGTTTGCTAGGTGACCCACACTCACACGAATGCTTATCCATGTCTGGTAGCGGTGCTGACTCTTCATTATCCTCTGAAAAATATCAAGGTAAAATTTAATGAACTTCACCAACTTAATAAATATTTTCGTTCTCTCAATCCGGATAAAATTTTATGCAAAAGACACGATAAGAAACAAAAGCAATAAAATTTTTCCGTGCAAAATTCATATTCTTATTTTTACTATTTTACATATTCCATATCAATCTAATGAATTCTCTTGAATATCACATATAAACCTCAAATATACATCTCCATACTCTCGAAAGAACATAGATACACTCAAATATCAATCGTCATTTCGAAACATAATCATACACACAAAAGATCACAGATACACTCAAAAGTTATTTCTATGGTTTCATTGTGCGATGTCGTTTATATCATCATTAAGGAAAGGCGAAATAGATCCTCTAATCGCATGGATAGCACAAACATAAATCACACAATGGTCACAACAGATACATTTTCTAGGTGACCGACACTCACACAAATGCCTATCCACGTCTAGCAGCAGTGCTGACTCTTCATTCTCATATGAAAAATATCAGAGTGAAATTTAATAAGCTTCACCAACTCAATAACTATTCCCATTTTCTCAATTCGAATAAAATTTTATGCAGAAGACACTGTAACGCCCCGGAACTTGAAGGAAAATAAAATTATAAATTTAATGCAGAAGCGAAATAATAGAGTTAGGTTTTATATTTCTTACACAATAATTTAGAATATCCAATAGGGTTACGAAAATGACCCTTCTAAAATAATAAATGAAAAATCAAAAAAATAAATAAAAAGTAAACAACTAGGCATTCTATTCACAACCCTCTTGATCTACATCTTGGTCCTCTTTATCTGAAATGGTTAATGAAAGAGTGAGATACACTAACCCAATAAGAATATCACACTACTCACC